AAGGGTAGCTGTATTTTGGAAAACCAATTAGACTGCAATAAAAAATGAAAATGATTTAATAAGTTAGCATAATTTATATCTATATCAACTCTATTCAATATTTTTTTCACCATTATTTTTTTATCTTTAAATGGTCATGTTAACTTTTTCTACTCAATCTATTTTCATCATTACTTAATATTCTCTATTAAGATAATAGTAAAATTGTAATCATGTCCTATTATTAATTATAAATTTTTTAAATTATTAATTTGTGAATAGTTAATTTGTAATTATTAAGCTTAAAATGGGTATTTTTTCAAAATTATATTTCTTTTTACTCACAATTTTACATTCTTATTACTTTATAATAAATTAAACATAAAAAATCTTTCAAGAGAATAAATTAAAAATGATTATTCATATAAATAAATTATAACTTTTTAGAAAAAATAAGCATCTATTATTAAGGATTTATGGAAATACATAAATAAAAATAAATTAATCTACTTAATTAAACAAGATTTGTGTTAAAGCCTTATATTGTTTTATATTGTAGAAATTCCTGATAAGTATAATATTATTTTTCAACCAATTATAAGTTTTGAATAATATTGAAATGAAAAAATTGTAATGAAAATAAAAATAATCTTCATTGAAAATTATATTCTCAAACTTTTATTCAAAATAAATTCATTTCAAGATTCTATCTATCCGTTTTTGTTATTATTTAATCATATTTCTTTCTTTTTTTTGTAAATATTATAGTTTGAATAAGTATTAAAGATATGGCTTATTAATATAGTATCCTATTTTAGCTATTAAATGTTTATATATTTCTCTTGAATTTATATACTATCCTCCAAAGTAAGCTTTAAAAATAGCATAATTGTGATCTGCATAAAGAATAAAAATTGAAGTGCAATAATATAACAATCTACAAATCATATTTACATTCAGATTCATTACTAAGAGTTTGGAATAATGCAGAAAGAAATTTGTTTTTTGTTAGTAGTATTGATGCTATTGGATTTTAATTAATCAAATTTCATTTCAAGAAAAGCGATTTTTTTTAAAAAAGAAAAGTAATTTGTTATTTAATCAAATCAATAAGTTATAGAAAACAATTAGAATAAACTTCTTAGTATGTTTAAAAGTATAAAAATAATTTATTTAATTTAAGAAGAAATATCACAATTCATAATAGGTTGGAACTGCTAAGAAATGAAATTCATCTTCTCAATTTAAGATCAAGATGTATTGAGTTAAAGAAATAGAGATATTTACCATGTTGACAATTAGAATATATTTTAAATTTTATTCTGTTTAATTATAATAATTCTCAATTCTCTCATTTGATTTCCTCTGATATAGTTTTCTTTATTGAATCCGATAGGACTAAGAATTCAAAATTACATCCATTCATTCCTACACACATATCAGTATATGATAAGGAAGTTAAGGAGGTTAAAGAGGTTAAGGAGGGTAATTAGCTGGCTAATTATATGGCTTTGGCATCTCCTTTGAATATTGTATTTTTTCTCTTATGATTGTTGATTAGTTTCTTTTTCCTGATCTAATTGCTACAGTTATTTTCACTGACAAATATGATATATTATAAATAATTTGTTATATCAAAGGACTTATGAGATTAATTCCTAAATTCAAAATTTCATAATAGTATTTTATAATATATAGGAAGGAATTGTTATTATTTCAAATTAATTTATTTAAAGTATGACATACAAATATTAATAAACTTTTATATCAATTAACTCGAATTTATAGTAAAATTATTCTATTTAATTACTAATTTCTTTTCATTTCTTAATCTCATTTATTTCTATTTCTATCATGAAATATTAAGTATTTGAAGAGAAAATTATAAAAGAAATAATTTTCAACTAATTTTAATTTTCCTGTTCCGAAATTGATGAATGGTTTCCATTTTATAGTGATTATTTATAAAAACTCAACCTAGATCCAGATGATTTTAATGTTTATTTATTGTGATTTTAGTTATAAGGATTGCCAATTGTAGTATAATTTATATTTATGGCAGTATTTATTAAATAAAAAAAATTATTTAAGTCACTAAATCAAAGACAATAACAAAAATATCAAATTACCATTTTTTCGAATGTTTATTTGAATGGTCTCGTCTTTCAGAAATATTTTGGCTTTTTAAATGTTTTAAGATTAAGCAATCTATACAATCAGTATGCTATTAATAGAATTCGAAGCTCTTGAATTCTTTATCGTTAGTTTAATTCCAGCAACAGATTGATTTATCAAAATCAGTCGAGAAGAAACCATTAACTAATTTAGAGAAAATGAATTTTATCAGTATGCCTTCTCAGGGTATTAAGTTAATTAAAAATTCTATAATTAATAAAAAATGAAAGGCTCATATCATGAGTAACCCAAATAAATTCAATGAAAATGCATAACATTCATCTTTTTATTAAATTAGATTATCCAATAATTTCATATGGGTACAAACAACATTTGACCACTCAACCTATCTAATTTATATTATGAGAAAGAATATGGATGCAGAGATATTTTTAAATTAAATACTCCGTTATATACTAATGGATTTGTTAATATTATCCAGTTTTTAAGTTGGAAGATAATTGTGTTTACGATGATTAAATTTTCTGGTTTATTATATATGAATTGTTACATATCGATACATCTCCAAAAATAATAGGATCTAGTGTATATGAAGCTTTTAAGTTTAATTCTGGTATATATAGATTTTATAAATCATTATATACATACTCTAATTCAATTTATACAGTTGGGTATTAAATTACTATTGTAACTTTTAATGATTTTTCCCTTAATTGTAAAATTTGGTTTTGAATTATGGAAGTATTCAAATCTAATATCTAATTATTTAAGAATTAATTGGGAATTAATTAAATAATTAATCAATTAAATTATCTTTAAATTTAACAACTCTAAAATAAGACTTATTTTGGTTCAATTATTATAAATGAATCAGGAATTCAATATTAAAATCTATTAAAGTAGTCACTACTACTCATAACTAAACTATACTTCAAATAAGATGTGTTCATTAATTACATGCGTTAACATTCCTAAATATCCATTTCTTTTTTCAGCAATAAGAAATTATTCGTAATTATTAACATTGTTTTAAGTTATAAATTTTTTTGTGCTATTCTTAATATATTTTTTCTTTTTATTTGCAACAATTTGCTTTCAAATTGGCTGGTTCGAAAAAAAAAATTTCAATATAAAAATATGCACAAAAATACCTGAAGTTAAATTATTTATAATAAGAATTACTATTAAAAAAATTAAATCAAACGTGCTTTTAAATAAAAATAGTTAAATTTTTACTTGGCTTTTATGAAATCAAAATAAAATTGAATTTTGCAACTCATAGGAATAATGGCTGGAATTGTTTTCAACTACAACAATAGGTTGGGAATGCTTTGAACCAAATAATGAAGCAGTTAATGCTTATTTTGAGTTTTATAATTATTATATAGCTGTTCATAAATGCTAATCTTATTGTTTATAATGCTTAAATACTTGCACATAATGGAGTAGCAACTATGATGCAAATGTTGTAAAATCATCATAAGAAGTGTACTAAATTATAGAATATTTTGATAAAGATACTTATAGGTGTTTGGATTGTCCATGATCTTGTTTAACATGTACATCTAAAATAGATTATTAAACATGATAATCTACTAATATATAATCTAAATTGAATCAATTATTTGATTGCCCAATTGAATGTAACTAGTGTGTAAGTTCAAACAACTGTATAGAATTTTTAGTTACAAATAATAGATAATTGAAAAATCAATACTATCTAATTTTATAGAATTCTTAATTTTAAAGATGTCATTAATTTAGTAACACTTACTCTGAACCTATTTATGATGATTATTTAAGTTGCAAAAATATTGTTAAAATTGAATATATGGGATCAACATGGAAATGTCCATTAGGATTATTTTATAAGGCAGCAACAAATTCATGCTTCTTATGTTATTCATCATGTTAAGCTTGTTTTCAAGAAACTGTTGATAGCTTTTTAAGTTGTGAAACATCTTTAAATAGAATATTAAAAGGATTATAATGAGTATGTGCACTTGGTTATTATGAATATAAATAACATGCGTATAAGTATTTAAATTATTATACTTTTTAGATTGCCTAGATACAGAAGATATTTTGTTAAGTACATGTTATAAATTATGTACTAATAATGAATAATTATGGCATCACTCATATTCAAAGCTAGATGATTTGAAATATACTCTATTTTTTGAATGGAGTGAATTGTGTATTAAATACAATACACAATTGTATATCTGCATTTTAAATGGTATCTTGAAATAGTAAACTGACGACTTTATATGATTCATTCTTAAACCTTACAGAGGATTTTAATTACTAAATGTGCAAAATGTAAAGAACCTTACTCATTTAATGATTAGAAATTACTATGCGTTATAAAATCATAACCTTCATGTTCATACACTTTTAATTTACTTAGTAACTATAATGATATAATTTTCATTTTTAAACAGAATGATATAAAATTCTGAAAGTTTATTTGTCTTTTGAATCTACAACATCAATTATTGATCCTATTTTATTTACGATTGGATGTATTGGACTTAATCAAAGTTATTATAGTTGTATTAACTGTTAAGTGAATTCCAAAATATCATACTTAGTTTTGATTTTTAATAATGGCTATTATTAAGAAAAGATGACAGAACAATGTAACCAATGTTCTATCAATCTTCATTTTTTATCTTGCTATGATGTAACAATTGAAATTTTAACTATATCATTACAATAAGAAATCTAAAGAAAATTGGAAAAACGATCTTCTACTTTACATAAGAAATTGATGATAGTTTACATATAAATATTCTCTATTGATTATGGTACTTCTTATAAATTGAAGGATTATTAAATTGCCTGTAAATTTTGTTAATCAGGTTATGAAATGTTCAATAATCTCTGTATTAAAGATTGTCCTGACTGTTTGTGTTTCATGTATCAAAATAAATAATGAAAATATATGGGTTATATGTCTAGATTGTATCAATGGCGGATTCTTGTTACTTCATGATAATGAATTTATTCAATGTCAAATTAGTTAATTAATAGCGATCAAGATGGCTAATTAAAAAAAAAATCATTATCAAGAATTCAAATGATGTATTAAATTATTGAATATTGATAATGATACTGCAGGAGCATTTATTATAATTGACCAGATAACATAGAATATCCAATATTGAATTAATCTCAAATAAAGTATAGAATCTAATTCTACTACACTTAAATTTTAAATAGAATGATTCTGTAGAATTATAGTATAAAAAAATTGTTTCAAAATTTTAATAAGCATCATTTTACATTTATTTTCATTCTAATCACATCTACTTTTATTTTGAAGTATAAATTAAGTATATGGTAATTTGATTATGAATAATATCTAAATCTAATATGATAAAATGTAGTGAAACAATCCAAATCAATATTATAGCAGTCTTTTTAATATGGATATTCATCATCAATAAGTATATAATTTAAAATATCAATCAGTTTGAATATATAAATTCAAATGTAAATATCCTATGAATAAAACGATAGTATATTTTGATGATTAATATTCAATTTTGATTGCTCTTACTGTATTCTAAATAAACTATTTATTTACTATTCAATTCAATTAAAAGAATCTCTTAATTTAAGATAATAGTTATTGTAACAATCAATCTGTATGATGATTATCAACTAATTAATAATAAAAATACTACTGATAATCTTATGTAAATTAAAGCTAAATCCATAAAAATTCAAAAATCAATGTTACTTCAAAACTCAATATTTGGATATTGTATCTTGATGTATAATTTATGAGTTAGAATAACTAGATAGACCATCTAATTCTAGTTTAATTAAAATTAACTTAAATTTTATCTGAATTGCTCAAATTGGTTATTTATTATTAACTTTAGTATCGAATTCCTCTTCTCATATTCTAGAGAACTTGAATCAATAAATAAATAAGAAATAATATATGACTTCTAAATATTCATAGAATAAAGATCATATATAACATTTAATTGTCTATTATGAGGGTTGTTCTTTAATTTAAATATAAATACTTTGATATTTTCTACCATTTTTTCTAAATAATATAGTAAATGTTCTATGATTATAATTTTTATTCATTTTAACATATTGTTCAATATAGAATAACACTGCTTTATTGGAGGACGATTGCAAATTCAGAAAAAATGATTTAGAATTTTATATAATTAAGAACTATTTTGAATGAGAATAATAACTTAAAATTAGGAAATAATCAAGCTTAAATACCATCTTCATTATTAACAACAAAGAAATATGAAGGATGATTTACCAAAGATCATATTTTTGAATAAAATAATCTATTTATAGATTGGAATTAAATAGATAATTATGACATATAAATAAATTATTCCAAAATTTAATTTTAATAAATTCTTCATCTTTAAATTATTCAGCTACTTGAAAATAAATTCTACCTTCACCATATCATTTTTTATAAATAACTAATAGTATAAATTTAAATTATGATCATAAATTAATAACTGTCAATCTTTGGCTTGTAAATTTAATTTAAATATCATTCTTAGCCTTTTATATAAAGCAAAGAAATATGAAGGCTTTTTGAATGCATAATTAGTAAAATATTATTTGTCGATTTTCAATAATGAAAAAATTTAAGACAACTTAAAAAATCATTTTTAGGTTTCTAATTGAAAAAGAGTCACAAATTAAGGCATATTAAAAAATAGTAAATCTAATAAAATTCTTTAGTGTTGAGTTAACAAAAAAAGACCAACAATAAACCCTTTTAAATTCATTTCTTGTTATCATTTATTAAAATTGATAGATAAAGCTCTTCTAATGAGAAGTAGTCCTGAGAAGCTTTTATTAATGTTATTTAAATTAAATTAATAAGTAAAAATAATATAAACTTTCAAAAGAAAATTTATTAGTAAATAATGCTAATTATTAAATATTCTCTATTTGATGTATTTATGAAATAGTATTTTTTGTATTAATCAAACTATTATTGAAGGTGTTATTTGATGCAAATAATATTCCAGATTGTAATAAATGTGTAAATTAATAAGATAATTGTATTTTTTGTAATGAGAAATTTGATTTAGTTTTTTATAAATGCAATTTTAATTAATATTACAAACATAATTCTGATTGTTATAAATGTTAATTTTCATGTAAAATTTGCATTTCCTAATAAATTTGTATATGATGTTCTAAGATCTAAAATATATTATTGTTGAAAAGGTTCTTGTGTTTGTTAATAAGGATATTATTTATCTAATGAAAACTAATGTTTAGAATGCAACTTGAGATGCAAATCTTGCACTTCATAAACTGAATGCACAAATTGCTTTATTGAATAGAATAGAATTTTACAAAATAAAGATTGCATTTGTAATTCTGGCTATTTTGAATCTGAAAATTATCAGTGTTTTTCATGTAATTCAATTGAAGGCAAAAGCAAGGAAGATTGCAAATATATAAATTGTACTGATAAACAATGGACATATGGAGAATATTGCAATGATGGAAATACAATTGAAAGAGACGAATGTACCAATTGTAAAATAGATCCCAATTATATATGTATCAATAATATACTTGAACCTTCAATTTGTTTTAAATGTAGTGATAATTGTAATTAAAGTGATTTTAATTATGCAATAAATGCCACTATTTATACTGAATGTTATTAAGGATAATCAGTTTTTGTTAAATGTGCTCAATAATGTCAATAATGTATATATAGTGCATCTAACTTCCTGCCGATTTAAATTAAATAACTAAGGGTAGTGTTTAAAATGTAAAGATATTGTTGGCTTATACTCTAATTTTGAAAATAACACATGTTATTCTAAATGTGGAGATGTAATAATGAATCTTGATGAAGAATGTGATGATAGTAGTATATTAAATGGAGATGATTGTGATCGCACATGTAGATTAGAAAAATAATTTATCTATAAAGATTATGTTACTACATATCAAAAAATTGATTTATATCTATATCAAACCAGATTTACCATTAATATCAGCAGGTGATCAATCTATATACAATAATGTTAGATTAGTTTAATTATCATACAACATATTCTTAAAATTTAGCAATGATATAGATTATATTAAGGATGTTGAAGTAATCATTCTGAATTATTAAGAAGAACTAAACATAAAGTAATAATGTGACATTACCTCTGATTTGAAAATGGTTATAATATTGAATATCAATATTTTATTTGTAATTAATCCAAACTCAACTTAACTGTTACTTTTTAGATACATTTATTTTCTGTTTCCTTAATGATACTACTTCAGTGAAATGTAATCTGTAAAATCCAATTAATCTTACTGTAACATTTCATTAGAGCATAAAGAAATAAGACCTCAAAATTAGCTTTACCAACCTTTCTCATTTTAAATCAAGTGATGATTATATCAATAATAATAATAGATTGTAAAGACTAATAATTATTTTTAAACTCTAAAAAACTAAATTGCTGAAATTATTTTTGTTGATGTAACTACAGTTGAAATGCCTTCTTCAAGCAATTAATATATTTTGTATGCTATTGGAACAATAAGTGGAACTGCTCTTCTATTTGGAGGGTTAGATATTTTTTATAATCTTCTAGATGTAAGTGATTATTATGAATTTATTTTTATTTACATATTTAACTATACTATACAAATATTGTCATATCTAAAGTATATTAATTCTTAATTTCCGTTTAATTTATAACAGTTTTTCAATTGCTTTGAATTTGTACAAATGAATTTCATTTAAAAATATTTCAATATTTATGACCTTTTTAATCTATATCCGATTAATGAAAACTTTAACAATATTCCACTCAAAATTAAATAAGATGATTTAACACCTCTGTTTATAATAAACTGTGCATTAACTATTTTCATTTGGTTTACTTAAATTCTGATATACATTGTTTCAAAAAAGATTCCATACTACTTATATCGACTTGATTTCAAATACAAATTCCTAATTTTACCTATGAAAATATCAATAACAAGTTTTTCTCTAAAAGTTTTAAGAGAATTATTTTGTAGTTGAATCCTATAGAATTCTGATTACAACTGCTTATGATTTTACTTTTACAATAGTCCTTTAATTGTATTCATTAGACATAATGTTACATAATATTTTAATAAGATTAAGCTAAATACTTGCTGTGTTAACATTTTTCTTCTACTTATTTATTATTTTTTTTATAATAAAGCGGAGTAGTTAAAATAAATATACATTTTTCAAATTACCAAAATCACCTCAAATATGGAACACTGTTTGAGGGGATTAAGTAGAATAATTTAGGTTAATATTTTATTATGAAGTCTATCTTTTTAGATAATAAATTTAATTATTTTTTACTTCTGTACAAGCTAATTTCTTACTTTCTTTTAAACCACATAGTAATTATAAGGAATTCATAAAACAATTTAGCTGTGAAGTTAATATTACTATCACATTTTTATTATTATTGAAATTAAATTTGAATGAATAATTAAGATTATTGACAGGAGATATGAAAGTTTAATTAAGATTGAGTTGTATTGAAAGTATCACTGCTATTTTATTAATATAATTAATTTAGATGCTATAGTCTGTGCCTGTCTAAATTCATTAGCTATATTCAACAATGGATATTTCTATTATAAAAGTATAAAAAGTTAAAAAGATTTATTAATAATTTATATATTATTCTATTATCATTCCAGAATATTATTCTTTTTATTAAGTTTAATTTTATCAATTTAAGCTTATAAAAATGGTTAGTAATTTAATAACTGAATTAAAATAGATTAATTAATTAATGTTTAAGACCAAAAGCCTTAGGTTTTGAAAAAGAATCAGAACTTATTCTAATAAGATATTCCAGTTAAATTATTTATTGTAGCATCAATCTTCGATTAATCTGAATTCGAATATACTTGTTGTCTCTAACATCAAACCCTATTTAGCATTGCTTTTTGTAATTACTCATTTATATCTTAGTTTCATTTGATTTCAACAATTATTTTAATCTTCTTCTTTTATTTTTTTAAATAGTGTTTTTCCTCCTTTCTATTCGAACTGAATTCTGTTGGTTTCAACAGTTATGTTTATTATATTTGATATTGTTTTAGAAACTCTTTTGTATCATTTACATTTCGTATATTGACATTTTAATCTCAGCATTCTTCTTTAAAGATATAATAATATTATTTTAAAGTATTTAATTATTTTTTTTAAGTTCATTATTGAATTTAAAAGAAATATTTGCTGTATTACTCAAAAAACATAATTTTTAGCTAGATTATTTACTTTCATGCTTGAATCTATTAACTTTTAATTGATTTTTTTGTGTTTTATAAAATTTTCCTTGTTCTTTTAAAGAATGAAAATTTTATTATACTTTTAATATTAAAAATACTTTTTTATTATTTTCATATATGTATCCATAAAATTCCCTTATTTATAGTCATAGCATTTAATAATCATACAACAATAATGGTAGCAGCATATTAAAATCTTGATATAAAAATTTTCATGAGAATTTTCTCTAGATTAAATGAGACTATATTTCAATTAAATAGTTTGATATTTAAATTAGAATAGTTTTGCTGTTATAAATAATTTAAGGATCTCCTTTATTAAAATATAAATCATAAAAAGCTGTGTTCAAAAAATGATGAAGAAGATTCGGTTTATTGTTTCTAAATCAAAAAGTTGATATTTTAAAATAAGAGTATTTTCTTAAAAGTTGATTTTATTTGATATTTGAATATTCTAAGAAATTTTCCATGTCATATTCAAGCAAGAAGCTTAGTGAAAGGTAAAAAAAAAGAGGTTTAAAATAGATATGATTGTATGAAGATTTGCAATAATCCAAAATTTTATTCCATAACATGTAAAGATTAAAAATTACTATTCATAAATAGCTTATTGTCTCTATTAAATCTAAGGAATTCTATTAACTACATAGCCATTCAAGAAATCTAAAATCTTTAAAAAAAGAAGGGTTGATTTTTAATACAAAAAAATACATAAATTATGAGCTAATGTAGAAAGTAGATGAATTATGTCCTTTGTATTTAAGACCTAATTAAAATTTAAGGTGTTTAAAATGATTTAATTTCATATCAAAGATATTCTAGCATATTGATATTCTAATTAGAGATTTATAGTTCTCAAATAAAGAAGAAAAAGGTATTTATATTTTGCAATATTTGAAATCCTGAAAGAAGAGAAATAATAATTTATTTTTAACAAAAATATATTCTAGAGGTCTAAATGAAAAATTTTATATATGATCTATTGGAAGTAGAGAAAAACAGTTTTTAGAATGGTTTCTTTTTAAGGTTCTGCATTGCCTGATATTTATATCAATTTTTTAAAAGAAGATTTGTAGAGAAGGATATAAGATTAAAAATTCTTACAAGAAGATTAATAAAAAAATAATTTAAGAAAGATGAATAATATAAATAAAATATTAAAAAAATCATTTTTTGTCTTGCAGATAGTGTGATTGGATAATTAAACAATTTTTGGATTTAGCAAAGAGGTATAATTTTATATTTCCAATTTTGGAAATGACAGGAAAGAATTATGACAATAATGAATTAAAAAAGCTAAATGCTTCCAGTACTAAGGCATGTAAATCTCATTTAGAGGAGGAATATCAGAACATAAAAAAAATATTTAGAAAAAAGTAATCTATAAATTCTCCTATATAGGTAACCTTAATTGGATTCAGGCAATTAGGTATATGACTGATTATGGAATATTTAAATAAAATTTCATTTAATTATCCAGCTCCTCACATAAAGAATTTTAGAGAAGAGAAATTTTGCACTGACAAAAACTCTAAAGATTATTTAAGTTACACCAGACAAGGTTATTAAAGATAAATGGTAATAGTTTGGTTCTAAAACTTCGGCTTTTATGAATCTACTATAGAATAAACTAAGTTTACATTATATTTAAATTTAGTTAGGGTTTCTCAAAGAAAGTTATGATAGAAGAAAAAATTAAAGATTTTAATGGTTAGATATATTTTTTGAAATCATTAAATCAAAAGATGAAAGAAAAAATAATATTTTCATTTGAACATTAAGTTATTAAATTAGGCCAAACTATAAAGTAAAGTATAGATCTAATATTGGATACCTAGATAGATACAAATATCATTGGAAGAAATATTTATAACGTCTTTGGACATGATTCTGTACTATCGAACGACTGTAATCTTTTTGAATAAAGAATTCAAAAATAATTCTTACTATAGTCCATTATATATTTAATTGGTGATTAATATAAAATGAAATATGTGTTTAAAAATTAAAGAATTTAATCAAGATTAAGTGATCTTATGACAGGAAGGGTTAACGTCCAGTTTGAAATTGATTTCTAGATCAAGTTTAGATAAACAGAAATTAGTGATCCTAGTGTGTTGCTCTCACTTAAAAAACATCAAAAATTTATGAGTAATACATAAGATATAATTCCGGAAGAAGCTATTTTAGTGAAATCAGAAAATAGATTCTCAATAATGAAGAAGAGGAGGAGATAGAAATAAGAAAATAGAGGCTGAGATGCACTTTCAAAGAGAGAAGAAAAATAGACATATAAGTCTGTTCATGAATAAATAATGAAAATAACCCATCTATTTATTAATGAGCTCTAAGGAAGTTAAATAATAATAATATTATTATAAGAGGTATTCCACCGTATTTCAATCAGTAAGTGTATTAGAATTATAAAATTTTAAGAATCATAAAATAAATAATTGGAAAAATCTATTATTATAAGAAACGTATAAATTTATGATAACTCCTTTGTCATAATGTTCAAAATTTTTTCAAATTAAATTTAATAAATCTCAATAATTGTTTTTAATTTTTTTTAATATCTATGAATTGGCATTAACAATTTTGGTTTGCAATTCAAATTTAACCATAATAATGGAGTTATAAGATGATATATGATTACTTTACATTTCATAACTTAATTTAGCCTTTCTCAATTATAATTAAATTTCATTCTTCAATCTCATATTTTTAGCATTTACATTTCCTAATTAAAACCATTTTGGATAATATCATTGATAAAATGCTCTCTATAATTTTATAAATTTTAATCTAACCACTTATTCTAATGGAAATCATTTTCATCTTGAATTTAATAATTAATTGAATTATAATTTTGTATTTTGAAATTAGACTCTTAGAATGAAGAAGGATTTGAGACCTATGCAAATGATGTGTAAATTGAAAATTTAATATTGAATCACAATCATAGTACAATTATATGAAGAACTGATTTTAGGCAAAATTTGCTTAAACCTCTTTCACTAAAGATTTAAATAACAGAAACTGGTTTAAGTATTAAGTAAAAAGACAATTTAAACACTAATTTTGTTTTGAAGATTTCTAGGTTTATATTAATTAAATAATTTTTAGAATATCATTTATAAGTAAATGATCATCAGTGCAAGACAAACAGAAAGTTGATGAATTTTTACAAGTTTAAAAAGTTCCAGTATACAATTCACATTTCGATTGATTATAATTTAAGTCTTTATAATATTCATGTAAAGAATAACAAGTCTTAATTTTATTATTGGTAATGAATATGGAAGTACATTCTAAACATTAATTAGAATCAATATGACATGTAAAACATGGATGATTACATTATTAGCAATTTAATGATTCATCCATGAAATATCCATTTTAATAATTACATTATAGTAAAATTTGTCTGATTTAGTCATTACAAGATAGACATATGTCTATTTAATCCAATTATAAAAGGTTAACAATCTGTTGATAAACATGAGCATGTATTATAAGAACTTAAGCATCTACAACATCATTTTGGTTTTGTATTATTTTCAAATTCATTGATTAAACAAGAGCATAAATGGTATAATTAAAATTCAAAACAAATATTATATTAAAAATAGATGATTTAGTTGATAGAATATATATATGATAATTGAAAATTATTAATAATATTTTTACATATATTTTATGTTTGAATTCACAATTTAAATTAAATATTTATTTGTTAAATTTATTAATAATTAAATAATAATGAATTAAAAATTTTAATAGAAATTGGATTTTAAATGTAAGGATCATCCTTAAACATCTGCAATTTTCTGGTGTAAATCAATTGATTGTAGAGAGAATAGAATATTTTGCATTAATTGTCAAAAATAATAGAAACATTATTAACATTTCATTGATGATGTTGATGATATTAATTAATTAAACTAATTTTTGATTACCAAATCTAAATATTCAAAGGATCTTATAACAGAATGTCAACTTTAATATAAATCAACTGTTCAATCATATGAATAATTAATTTCTGGTTTAAACTATAAATTCCGTATATAAGAAGATAAAATTAATGAATTTGAACCTAATTAAGCATTAACTGCACTTGATTCTTTAGTTTTATTTGATGATATGAAGATTCATATTAAATCCAATATAATAGGACCTTTATAGAAAATCTAGAAAATTTTAGATGATCTATATATGCAATTAGAATTATAAACAATAAAATATTAGATTTCTGATTAATAAAGAGCAACAAATTAAATTGATTATCAAAAAGGTTCTTTTTTTTTATATTTATTTTTTTTAGCCATCTCTTTAAATATAATAAATAAATCAAATGATGCAATTCAAATATTTGATAAATTATTATTAATTGATCCCTTTAATTTAGAATTTATGTATTAAAAAGGTTATTAATTAATAATATTTTAAGCAAATTCATTAAATAAACTAAATAAGTAATAAGAAGCATAATAAATATATACAAATATAATTAAAATCAATCCTTAACATGAACTATCATATTAGGAAATAGGTACTTTTTATTTATTTTTTAGGTGATATCTTAAGAGAATAAAAATCTTATTAAAAAGCTAAAGAATATTATGAGAAATGCATATAAATTAATAATAATAATTCAGCAAGTTAATTTGGAATAGGTATTATATGAATATATTACTTTAGGTGAATGCTTAAAAGAGACTTACAAATATAATGAAGCATTAGAATATTACATAAAAGCTATTTAAATAAGTTAATCTAATCTCCTCTATCTATAATCTTAAGGTAAATTTAAATTTAGAGTAATTAGGTGATTGTCTAAGAGCATTAGAGAGATATTAAGAGGCTATAGAAGCTTATAATGTAATTTTAAGTAATTAACCTAAAAATGCTGATGCATCTGCTGGAAAAGGTAAATCATTCAATAATAAATTAAGGAATATGTTTATTGTATTTGAACAAGTATAAAGAAGCAGAGGTTTTATTAAAAAACTCATTTACTCTGAAATTAGATTGTATCTTAGGATATTATGGATATGGTATATGATTCAATTAAATGTTAGGATTGTATTTATATTTCTAAGATCAATATTAAGATGCAATTAAATATTTTGTTAAAGCTTTGGATATCAATCCATAGCATATTCATTCATTAAATTGGAAAGGTAAATTTAATTCAATTAATCAAAGGTAACTGCCTAAGATTAATTAATGATTATTAATAGGCACTTGAATGGTATCAAAAAGCACTTGATATCAATCCATAATATGTTCAATCATTAAATGGGAAAGGTAAATTTAATTCAATTAATCAAAGGTGAATGCCTAAGATTAATGAATGATTATTAATAGGCACTTGAATGGTATCAAAAAGCACTTGATATCAATCCATAATATGTTCATTCATTAGATGGGAAAGGTAAATTTAATTCCATTAATCAAAGGTGACTGCCTAAGATTAATGAATGATTATTAATAGGCACTTGAATGGTATCAAAAAGCACTTGATATCAATCCATAATATGTTTATTCATTATATGGGAAAGGTAAATTTAATTCAATTAATCAAAGGTGAATGCCTAAGATTAATGAATGATTATTAATAGGCACTTGAATGGTATCAAAAAGCACTTGATATCAATCCATAATATGCTTATTCATTGTATGGGAAAGGTAAATTTAATTCAATTAATCAAAGGTGAATGCCTAGTTTAAATGAATCATTATTAATAGGCACTTGAATGGTATCAAAAAGCACTTGATATCAATCCATAATATGTTCAATCATTAAATGGGAAAGGTAAATTTAATTCAATTAATCAAAGGTAACTGCCTAGCGTTAATGAATGATTATTAATAGGCACTTGAATGGTATCAAAAAGCACTTGATATCAATCCATAATATGTTCCTTCATTATATGGGAAAGGTAAATTTAATTCAATTAATCAAAGGTGAATGCCTAAGATTAATGAATGATTATTAATAGGCACTTGAATGGTTTTAAAAAGCACTTGATATCAATCCATAAAATGTTTATTCATTATATGGGAAAGGTATACCTTTATTGAATACTTAGCCTACTGCTTATTGTAATATGGTTAATATGGAGATGCATAATTACTTTTAGAAAATGCATATTATTTATCACCTGATAATAAAATAATAGATGAATTGCTACGTATTTATACACATCTAAATAAGTTTAATGTATCAATTCCTTAAATCAATGAGAATGAATATAAATATATATTCAAAAATATAAGTTGAAATCATAAAATATTCCTTAAGTTTTTTTACATTTAAATCTTTTACATCAATAGTTACCTTAAATGAATTTTATTCCATATTTATTTAAATATATAACATGATTTCATTAAGTCCATCAGAAAACAGATGAAAGGTATTTTGGATTACAAAAATACAAATTTACTTAATACTTTTTGAAAGTGTTTTGGCCTTTTGATTAACCATATGCTTAAGGAAATCTATTATTATTAAAATTCAAAATTGGATAATTTTAAATAGATTAAATGATTGTATTTGATTATATCTCTTAAATAAATTGGGAGTTTGCTTTTTATTTAATAGATTATTATCTTTTTTATCTAATAATAAAAATTGATCATAAAAAGATAAGTAAAACCTTTTTGTAGCAAATTTTGGAATTTCTTCAATTTTTATAATGAGTTCCCTATTATTTTTGCATAAAAGAGTTTAAATATATACCTTTACTTTTTTTAAATCAATTATCTTCTATAATTATCATCCTCATATTTAGTAATTATAGTATCTAATTTTGGTTTTCATATTACTTTAAAATATTAGAATTTATTATTAATTTAAGAGTTTATTATTTTCTGTTGTTATTATAAAAATTGAATAATGGCTTTCATTTTTTCAAACCTAATGTATACTTTCAAGATTTAAAAAAAATTATTCATTTTATATCTCCAAATCATTTTACAATATTTTTATTATTCTATCAATTTAATCATTAACTGATAATCTCATCCAAGAGAAGAAGCATATAGAAATAAAAAAATAAAGTTTTAAAGTTTATTCGAATACAGAGAGTATATTCTCTGTTTCATTTCCCTACACTTCTACTTTTTTATATGAAGTTCTGATCAAGTTATGTGATATTCTTTGGAATTTATCTTATTCTTTTTTTGATATTCAATAGTTATTTAAAGATTACAGAATATGCATTGTATTTTTTTTAATTAAAAAGGTAGCAGAATCGACTGCTCTCTAGTTTATGTTTCTGTAACTTAACAATCTTTGAGTATATTTTGTTTGGATTGATATATAATAATTAATTGAGTTTTGATTACTCAGTTTCTAAGATTACATCTTAAGAGATATATCTGTCAACTCCTTTTAGGTTGTAAACTTCAATAGTTTTTTAATATGTTCTAGTTTCTTTATATACTTAAAGGAAATCTTTAAAATTTTTAATCTGGATTATGTATTTATCTTATTAAGATTTGGCCTAAATGACTTATTTTGAAAATGTCAATCAAATCCATTAACTCTAAATTTCACTATGGTAATAGATTGAGGTATGCATTAAACTTGAACCTCATCAAGATTAGAAGAATAGATTTCTAAATTTAATAGGTTATCCAAATAAAGATCTTCTTGAAGTATTTTTATTGTTGTTTAATTTTCATACCAATTGTAAGGATATTCAGCAACAACCCCTATAAATCTGTATTATATTCTTAACTTTTCATCATTGACTCTCTGATAAGCTCTAAAAAATCCATAAAAAATTGTTTTAAGTGTTGTGGCTTTTTATAAATAATCTAATTTAAACTTGTATGCAAAAATCCAATTAAATTCAGTTAGTTATAACATTCAAAATATTCCATAAAATTCTGTATGTTAATTCTAGTGTAGATTTTGCAGAATTATCACTAAATCTTTTGTACATTCTTTTCTAGCCTATGCCTATTCAAATTTACATTAAATGATATACATTTCTTATTTTAATTATTTTATCATGTTGTTCATCATTTCCAATAGCCTATTGTATAATCAAAAATTGCATACCAAATCTTAGATTTTATGTATGAATTTTAACCATGGAAATTTAAGGTATTACTATTACAACTTTATTAATACTTTTAAAGTCTCAAGATTTTGTAATTTATAAGGGAATTTCAACCAAAGCAGATCAGATACATAACAAATAGCAATCCCCTAGTTCATCTTGTATAATATCTTTTAGATTAATTGACGATTAATTTTTCTAGATTTTTGCTTGAACAATTTATTTGAACCTGACTACTAAAATATTTATTTAGTTTTTTATTGTATAGGAAAAGGGTTGTAGACATCAAAAAGAGACTAAAATCCTCCCAAACCAAGGAATTTTTGACTTAGTGGACTAAATATGTCACTAAATTATTTTTTCTTAAACTGCTTAAATATGTATATAGGTAGTTTTCCTTGAACCTAAAAGATTTGTAACTTATAATAAAATCATTAGCTAATATATAGAATTATAAGAAAATATAAAATTTTGCATAGAAGAGCTTAGAAGTGAATTAGATAACAATAAATTAAGAATTAAGGAAGGTTTTATTTTATTGTTTGGCCTCTATTAATACTTAAAATTTTTTATAATTGAAAGATTTACATATTCATCAACTCTCATTCTTGGTAGCGATTCCGTATTACTATCATATCATTTTACATTTTTTTTTCAAATTTTTGATTGAATAATGTAAAAAATTATGTTGGCGTTACAATAAAAAAAATTTTAGATTTACAATTTTTACTGATTCTGAATATTTAGTTTGTATAAATTTTTTATAGATAAGATATGAAATCATCATAAATTAAAATATATTATAAAATTCCATAATTAATGGATGATAAAGGAACTAATAACTTAAATCTTAAATACAACTTTGCACTTTAATACTTAAATCACAACATAAGAAATGTTAATTTTTTTTTTTTATATCAAACAATATTTAGTTAAAATCACAGATAACAAAGTAGTTGATATTGAGGGGTGAAATAAAAAAATATTAAAAATACTATGAGAATACCTTCCTGTAATACTAAAATAGGTTGGATTGTTTATATAATTTATCCTCAACCATAGAATCCTGTCTAACATCTAATTCTTATTAATTTGATTACTATTTTTAATATCCTTAATCATATGCATTTTCTTAGAAAAGATAATTATTATTATTCTAACAAAATTATTGCTGTTATTATTATGGAAACAAGGGTGTTTTATTCTATTAAAATGGCTATTGCTGAAATAATTAAGGTAATTATTAAGGAACTTCTGTCATTATTGAATTACATGAAGATTATAATTATAAGAATGTTTATTATGTATATTATTTGGAATTATTGGGCATTATATTAGAAGAACTACCTCCACCTCCATTAATCGTAGGTAATGAGCTTAAATTAAATCTATTAAGAAGATTATAATTAGAATTTTTAGGTATTTAAGATAATTTAGGTAGATTCCATTATTATTATTAAGGAATAAATTATTATTGTTATTGTAATTATTATTAATAGATATATTAATTTGATTAATATTATTATTACATCATAATCTTTTATTATTACTAATATATTGATTATTATTGTTATTATTAAAACATAAATTACTGTTATTATTATGGAAACAATGAATTAATCATTGAATTAAATGATATATCTTCATCATCTTCATCATTTGGATTCTTATATGCTTTCCTAACAACATTTGCTATTTTTTAAATAAGAAAAATTATTACTATTTTGTCTAGCTAACATTAATTTCCTTTGAATATAATCACCCTAACATTATTTATCTTAAGTTCCTTAACTCTATCAGCATATCTCAATATATTCAAAGTACGCTCACTACTTGATGAACTATGAGAAATGTTTCCGATCATTACTATTTTACAATTACCTGTTAAACTATTTTTTAAAACCTAAGAATATTTAAATTAGAATTACTAATGTAAGTTTTGATCCTCTAAAGAGAGTGTGATTCTTATTTAAATCCAATGCTCTTATGATTTCAGCACCATCTATTCTAGTTTTTTTATTTAAATCTTAAACATCAGCTCCTCTTTCACTTCCTGCTAAATCAATGAATGACAACTTGCCCCCAAAAGCATTTTTGCCTGCTCTTAAATTGATTTATAAAATAGCATGAGATCTTGATGATTCATTATTGGCTCCATTTTGAGCTAAGAAAAATAATAAAATAAATTAACCTGTCAATCTAACAGATTAACCCTAAATAATGATTTACATAAGGGATTAGACTGAATTCACTATCTTCTCCATTAGATTGTTTAAATTGACATTTCCCTTTGCATCTTCTCTGAATTAGATTTACCCTCTCTAATTCAAAAATCAAATAATTTGCCTCTTTTATATGTTTGTCTTATTCAATTTAATTCTTGTTTTTATTATTAATCTATATATGGTATCATATATATTTTTCATAAATCTTAAATGAAATTCACAATTATATATATATATCTCTTTATGAATTATTGGGTGCTTTCATTTAAAAATGATTAGTATAATCTACTTTTATAATAAAACTCTAGTTTCTTGCTTAGCTGAATATTATGGATATTAGGCTTTCAAAGGGACTTGCTATATTAAATAATAATAGTAATTTGTTATTTAATTTTGATCTTAATTTTATATTTTTAATTCTAGAAATCGGAGATATCTAATAACTTAAAATTTCTTATTATAAAAACTAGGTAATTTAAAGAATAATTATAATTATATGATAATTATGTTAATTTAACTTACATAATTATATTTTTATAAGTATAATAAATTTGTTCTTTTTATAATTTATTTAGCAAATTTTTTTTTTAAATTGATTAGGAAGTAATTTTAGTTTATGATAAATTGAGATTCTTGTATAAAATTAAATAAGCTAAATCTTAAATCACAAAATAAGAGTTTAGTTTTTTAATATTTTTATAAAGAACATAACATCTATTTATGAAATACTAAAATTTACTATTTTATCCAATTTCCATGCCTTGATATCTAAAGTAAATATATTTATAATTTTATTATTTTTTTTTTCAATAATAAAACATATGCTTGATTATAAATAATTAATTCATTTTTTTTCATGTAAAAGAATTCTATATGGTCTGACATATATTGACTCATTAACAACAAAATATTTAATTGACTTCATTTAGTCGCTTTATCGAATTTTTTTTGGATTTACTCTTGACATAAAGATAACAGCAAATTATTTATTACCAATTTAAGTGTAATTAGCATATCCATGATTAATACAGACATGAAAATCACTTGAGAAATAAATTCCATTTCCAACCTTCACCTTACTTCCAGATTCATCTACACAATCAAAATCAGCATAATTTTATCCAGAACGAGCCTATAAATTATTTTTAACAATTCCATTAACAGCATAATTTTTAGTACCATGATACAAAATTCTCCATTCATTAGGATTGCCATCCATTTTTATCCAATCATCATTTCCATATTTTCTTACATTTAACCCAAATCCATAACAACCTATTGGAAAATAATAATCATATCTATGATAAGGAGGTCCTCTCTATTCTTTCTCATGAAAACCATCCCAACTCATATTATGTGAAGGATTAAAATCATCAGAAGAAAGAGTAACTCCTAATTCTTTTGCCTAATTTCCTCCAGCAGCTCTTGCTTAATCGAAATAGGTTAAATATTCAATTTTCCCATTACAATAATTATTTAAGAATTACTATGCATTTTGATTATTTTTAATCTCTTATTAAATCTCATCGATATTTTTTCCTGTAATTTAAAAATTAATTTCAAAGCTTCCTTTTGATACTCCTAATATTTCAATTTAATCAATTGATATATTAAGTGAAATTGATAATTTTTATTTAAATTCCAATAAATGTTTTTCTAATAATTGATTGTCATTCACAATTGTATCATAATCAAGATTTGTATTTCTAACCTTTAAACAAGATTAATCTGAACCATATGCTCCTAGTATTGAATCAAATCCAAATGAATATTATTTACTAGTTTATAATAATTCTCTATTTTAATCTCTTAATAATGATTCTTTTAAAACATAAAGTGCTACTTCAGGATTTGAAGCTTCAATATTCTATTTTACATGAGGTATTTCTTTTACTTCTCCTGAATCTTTTAATTTTTTAAATAATTATTGTTAATATTAATGTTTTTAGAATTATTTTTAAATATTAGTAGCATTGTTATTATTATCTATTTTAATGATTTCTTAATTTAATGTTTATATTTATTGTTTAATTGGTTATTTACTAATTTGTTTTTATATCGATGTTTATTAGGTTATAGGTTATATGTGTTATTTAATAATTTACTCTTATTGCTTTAAATTCTTTTTTGCTTCATCATCATATTGCCATCTTTATTTTTCTTGTTCAATCCGTCTTCTATTTTCTTCTTCAATTTATCTCTTCCTTTCTTCCTCCTATCTAATTTTTTCTTATTCAATCCGTTTTCTATTTTCTTCTTCAATTTATTTCTTCCTTTCTTCCTCCTATTTAATTTTCTCTTATTCAATCCTTCTTTTATTTTCTTCTTCAATTTATTACTTCCTCTCTTCCTCCTATTTAATTTTTTCTTGTCCAATCCTTCTTTTATTTTCTTCTTAAAGTAATCTTTTTCTTCTCAGTTTCTCCTCTTCTCTTCTACAATATTGAAAAAACGAAAAAACAATAGCTGACAATAAGATGCTTCCTAAATAATAAAGGAGGTTCATTTATTAATATTGATGATTTATTTTTATCATAATAGCATAATTTAAAAAGGATTTAATAGAATTATATTTAGTAAATAAATTATTGCTATATATTTCTGATATTTTCAAATATATAATTTAATTATAACTGCGATTTGCTTTTGATTTCAGACTTACTTTCTAGTCTTCTAATACAGGTTATGTTGGGTTAGTTAAAATATATTTTATTTTAACTTGCAAAATCATTATCCCCTAATTATAAAATTTTTTACTCATAACTCTTTATGTTATTTTTTAATATATTATGTTTTATTAAGTGATGCAAATGAAAACAACTGATGCGATTTTAATAATAAATATTTGTATCTGATTTTGAGTGAAATACGGTTAAAGTTTTTCAAGCTAACTTTGAGTTTTAGGAGATTTAATTACATGATAAAATAAGATTTAATGGTGCTCTACTAATTTTATTCACTGAAAGTGAGTGTCTATAAATTACTATTTATATATTGATAACATTGATCACACATAAAGGTTGAAGTATATAAAAATGCCAATCCAAAATTTAGTAAG